TGCTGCTTCAACGTATTATTGAATTTAAAATGAACGAAAATCAACGTAAAACACCAGTAGTAATTAATTTCTACGTAATTTTTGGACCTTGAATGAAAATACAACCTTGAAACATACACACTGCAAAGGGGAAAAGCCCTAGCAGACTAGCAAGGTAGACACAAACCGGAAGTGAACCGAGCAGGGGTGAGTACTTATGGGACTACCGTGCCAGAGCTATCAATTGCGCTCTGCACTATCCGTGATTTTCTCACTAGTTTGCAAGAGTCAAGGTTAACCACAGAAGGGTTTATTCTCGCATTTTGGCTAAGGTGTGTACTGTTGCCATGGCAACAGGGCTGGTTAAAAACAAGGCTTAAACAATGGTTTTTGTTTATTTAAAAAAAAAACAGTCGTTAGATGTTTTTCATCATTTGCCCACTACGAATTGACATTAAATCCCCTCTGTCAACACTGTTCTAATAACATTTTCGTAATTCGCCGTAAATCGTTTTCACTGCATGTTTTGTATTGTTAAAAATTCCCTATGTCAAAATTCAGATTTTTTGTGGTAGATCATTCACGTGGTTTCTGAACTATTTTTTTGTTAAATTTCTTGAAATTCTAACGACTGAATCGTTAGAAATCGGCAAGTCTCTGCAAAAGCAATCAGTCTCAATTTTTCGAGCAACTGCGCATGCGCTGCATTTAACTGGGTTCTTTCGGTAACAGAAAAAGCTGAGAGTTGCTGGGTTCTTTGCATCGTTAGCTTTTCTAACATATCTTAGTAATAAAAGACTAAAGCCATCAATACACTGCGTTCTATAATAGACAAAAATAGCACAGATAGTGCGGGTGTTGAGTAAATAAAATGATCGCTCTATTGACGGCATGTTTGTTTTTGCAATCCTTGTGCGCGCGCGAAAACTGTGTTCGGTCACCTTAAGCAAACCCAGGAAAAGAGAGAATTTTGTTTTGAGTTTTGTAACTTCGTGGTGAGGTTTTCTGTTTGTACTGTTTGACCTTCTGTTTTGAGTTGGAATAATCTCAAAATACAGAAAACAAAAGCAGTGAAAAATATTTGTATACAAGAAAAAACAATATACTTTGGTAAGTTTTAATCCTGGGTAAGCGTTAATCGGCTGCTGAACAACCCGGCCCTGGACTTTAGCTTCGAAGTTGAACGAACTTTTAGAACGATTGGTAAAGCTGACAAAATGACTACAAAAGTCGTCGGCAAAAACTCAAACTGGTTTGCACTTGAATCAGGCCACAACAGCTGGGAATTTTGAGGATTTATTTTTACACTCCTTCTGTCTAGAAGTATATAGTCAAGCTGAAAGAAACAAATTACAGTTACTTTGAGGCTCTGCCGTAATTGTCGTAGTTGACCTTGAACTAATACAAACTGAAAATATGTTATAATTCTACTTACAATTCTTGTAATCCCTTCCCTTCGTCTCTTAACGAAATAACGTTCCCTCTGCGAGATTCGAACCGCGTGATCCCTTTTATAGTGGTATGTCCCTAGGGACGTTACATAATCCTGCAAGGACTTAAGATAACTTCGTGTTCGTGCAAAACACTCCCCATCCAGTGCGGAAATCTTATTACATTATTATGTGATTAGATTGAGCAACGATGTGCGTTTATCGTGACATTTGTAGTTGCTTATGTTTCATTACTTAGTTCTTCCTTTGTTGGAATTAAACAAAGTTTGTGAATCGGTCGATCATAAACTGAAGTTGCAGTTTTAATTCTTGCTTTCCTCACAAGACCATCTGCTCCCGGATATGTAAGAAGTACCAGTCCAAGCTTCCATGTTCTTCTCGGTCTCCTGTTCTTCTCTGTGTCTAGTCTTTGTTGTTTGAGCGTGGCTTCGTATCGACGTTTGTTCACGTCTCCAGTTGCGTGGGGCGCCTACGGGTGGCAGTTCAAAGTCTAGGAGATGGGTGGCGCCGCCGCCGCCATATTGCGTGTCATCATCGTCCGAGAAGGCTTGGTCGTGTGATCTTTTGCTGTTTTGGTTTAAGATCTGGTCGATGGACGGATCGAAGATCCAGTCATCGTCGTCATCGAAGATCCATTCGTCGTCGTCGTCGTCGCGGACTCGGTCCAGAGAACGAGTGCGACGTGGAACGTTGAGTCTGGGCGTGGACAGTGGGGAGAGTGCCCGACTTCGTCTTGGAGTCTGCGAAGACATAAGGACACACTGACTGAGGACACGTACAATGCTTTTTTAATGAGGTCAAACACAAATGTTTTTATTGGCTAATAACACATCCAATCATACATCTTGAAATCCTTGTATCCACTATCATTTACATCACGAAATCCTTGTATCATTTACATTATTCATTCGAATAGCGCATCATAAATCATGTATTCCTTGTATCCTGTATCATTTGCATTACTCCGGGCCTCTTTAAAGTTGTACCCTGGAAATTTTTTCTTTTTACGGATGTGTGAGCCGTCATAATAATAATAATATCCGTGGATCTTGGGGGGAAGCGATATGTACGGTCCGTAGTCCGTTATATAGTAAGAGGGATATGTTATTTCTATGTGACCACGTCCCTATTCTCTCTTCAGTTTGGTATAATCTAAAATCTCTTTGAGAAGCCTTCTTAACAATCTGTTTCCTCTGCGGTCAATGATATGTTGCGACACGGCTAGCGAAATCACAGAAAACTGTATTTCTGCGGGTAGACTATCCCAGTAACTCTATGAAAAAAAAAGGCGCGACCAGATTTCAGTCAAACAAATGGCTACGAAGTGACTTTGCAACACTTGGCACTAAATACGGAACGCGTTAAACTATCAGTACTCACTGCTTTGTGCAGGTCCATATGGCGATTCATGCTGGTCTCATCCCAGTAAGAGTGAGAGGATCTGCATAGATGCAAGAAGTAGGAGAACCACTTGACTTCACTCCTCAACATCTTAATCCGATTGAGTAATCTCGCCATCAGATCGATCTTTTTATCGTCGTTTCTTGCGTTTTTTCACGAGTTTTCGGACCCCGTAGCTAACGCCTGCCCCGGCGGCACCCATGGCGGCCCCAGTTCCAGCTCGGATTCCAGTTTTCACGGCACGTTTGCCCAAAGCTCTGACCAACCCCAACACGGCCCCTTTACCGATGGGAGCTAGTGTAGACAAGGCACTCACAAGATCTCCACCACGTTGTCTTCTCCAGTGACTTTGAGCCAACGATTTGGTCGTGGGTTGAACAGGTGATATGATGTCAAGGAAACCTTCTCCACGTTGCTGTCTCTTTCTCTAACGACGTCTTCTCATGATGGTCCTCATCTTCTCAGTTACGTAACTGGTCGAATTGCTTGTCACGGTAGAACGTTGTCCGTTTTTATAGGTGGCCGTGATCGTGTTGGTGGTCGTGATACGACGACCCGCCACCGTTTGTTGTCGCAAAATCTCTTCCAGTTTTTGCTGCATCTGGGCTTGGTTGAGAATACGGTCTCCTCGACCCGATCTTGGTTGTTTGACCAAAGGTGTCGTACCCACTCCCATCGTGACATTGGTGTGTGCTGCGCCCGTGCTGGCTGTACCTACCCCGATCGTGGGACCTGCAGCCACTGTCACGGGTGGTGGCGGCGGCATCCTTGGGCTTCTGCCTACACCCACGGTCAGAGATCGTGACAGAGCTCTATAATCACCGCGTGATGCCATCTCTTGCTACTTCTTGCTTCTTCTCTCTTGCTACCTTCTTCTTCGCCAGCACTTCTTGGGTATGAACCGAATTCTCGAAACCTTCACCATTATATGCTTTCACGATGGATCGTACTTGACGATGAGTCACACATTATGTGACCCGTTTCATCCGCTCGTAGTCCATTTCATTGGGATTCATCACGTAATGGAGCCTATTTTCACATAGGTGGATGAACAACGGAAACCAAGACGACTCGCTCCTCAACATGGTGGTAGCACGAACTGATGGCATCGTACGAATCTTTCGTCTTTTAACACACGGCTGAGGACCCGTTGATCGTCCACACTGGCTGGATGAAGATCCAATAGCATGTAACCGTAAGGACGATCGGTGACCTTTCGAAACGTGTCCAACACCTCCGGCCATCGCGTGGGAAACGATTGCAGTAATAGATTTCGTATCCCCAATTGATCCCGAGGGTTCTTGAAGGCCACGATGTAATGGGCGTTGCGGGAAATGGTCTTGGCGAATTTTCCGTTGGGGAATAGATCCTGACACAAGTAAATCACCGTGATGTTCCGATGATGAGAATGTTTGGTGAAGAGATCCAAGACGCGCTTGTCGTTCCCGCCCTCGTCCATCAGATCGTCCAGGACCAAGACACCCCCTCGAGGGAATCATCGGGGTAGCTGTTCGCTGTTCGGGATGCCTTCGTGAAACTTGACCCCTCCCTTCTCGAGTTCGTCGAAGCCATCAAGCCACGATCCGTAACAGTAATGAATACTCTTCGGGGGTTCTTGGAAAGAGTCGCCGTTCTCCAAGAGCAGTTTGGTGGTAAACACCGTCTTGCTGCAGCCTGAGGGACCCGCTATCAGCAGACTCGACGGGGTGTGAAATCGAAAGGCTTTACGTCGTTCTATGTTTCAGACTAACTCACCACGCAACATCATTTTTCAACTGAACACTTTTTATTCAAACCAGCTTACTTAAACAAATGACGCACTCCTCTAGAGGAACCTCGCGTGTCCTGGTGACACGGGGTTTTACAAATCTTGCGCCAGATCAACTCGTCCACGACCAAACGTTTTAACATCTGTCCTACTTTATGATCATTCTCTACAAAGTCGTTTTTCTTAAAACGATTCAAAAACGCGTTCATGTCACGACCTTCGGCTCGGTCCATCAGGAACATCAAGGCGTAGTCGCCGAAACTTTGACTGAAGAGTGACTGTAAACTCTTGCCGTTGACAATCTGGTACTTGAAATGACGGTCCAACCATTCTCGGAGCGGTTCGGCGGTTCCGTACACCTCCAACGGGAGACCGTAACTGTCCAGGATCTCACACTT